GACAGAATTTGAAGACTTGTGGAGGCAGAACTGGAGTAAAGTTTCATTATTGGAAGATCAAAATGATAGGAGGATATTTGACTCAATGCAGATGATAACACGTAATTTGTAAGTAGAAAAAAATATTTAATGACATTATAAGTAATTTACCTGCGACATATTATGTTATTTGTAGTTTTTACAATTTGCCATATGGTAAAAAGAAGAATTTATCAAGTGAAGATACTTACGTCCACAGAACCTGTCATGTAATTTTGGAAAAAATTTTCCGTATCGAAAATATGCAACTTATATGGTATGTTTTATAATTTTTTTTTTTCAGTGAGGCTTTACCCCGGTTTTACGATATTGTTTTATGATCAGCTTTTTTATAAAGGTATTGTTGACTTTTTATATAGGGCAAATGGGGAGAGTAGTTCGTCTAAAAATCAATGCTCAGAAGACGGTAATGCCCATGAGTTAAAGCCAGACTTTCGTTTAATTAGTGAAGATGAAAATCAGTCTGAAATTTTATTCGGTGAAATTAAACCACCAAAAGTGGAAAACCATAAATTCATTGTAAATCAGGCACTTGCCAAATTGGCCAATCTTATGAAAGGTGCATTAGACCAAGGAATCCATGACGAAACATACGGTGTACTCATTAATGGTAAATAATCAAAGCCAATCCTTTATTTATAAGCAACATACTAATTATATATTTGTGTAATAGGAAACAGAATCGAGTTTTGGAGAATTACTTTAAATTACGATGGTTTATATCAGTTCATGTCTCTAGTTGAAATGACCTTTCCAACTGAAATGGCAGAGTTCCTTGTGATTCTTTCCGTCATGGAAAGATGTTATGAATTAAAAGTAAGAGTGTTTTTAATAGTCTATTAAGTATTCTTACTTATATTGTATATTCCATTTTAGGAACTTATTGTTGAGACGGAGAAACGTAGCATGAGAAATGGTAGTTCCCAACTGAATGTAAACTATCAGCGTAATTCGAACTTGAGTCCTATGAAGACAAAGGTGCCCATTATTAATATTCGAACATCTTAAGGACTAATATTTTATATCATTTGTATCCATTTGGAAAAAATTATTAATATAAAACATAAATGTGAATTACCTGGATCAATGAAACATTATAGTAATAATGTCACATGTACATTCTGAAGAAATAAAGTTACTGCACTATTGTGACTAAGTTTTTAACCAGATCTTTAAGCTTAGTATTAATCTTTCCTATTGCTATAACGTGAATTTTAAAAAATGAGTTACACAAATAAATGTATTACAAATGTGTCATACGTTAATTGACTAAATTTCGTATATATCAAGTACGGGATTTTTTTTATATTATAGCATAATAGATACATAATAATTATGGCGAAAATTGTGGGATTTTTTTCCATTAACTCTGATCCATTTTTATTTAATTCGAAAATTATCGCATTCACATCGCCTATATATTCCATCTGCTACTTTTTTGCATGTTTTACAATACAGATGTGAATGGTGATTGCATTCGTCACAGACCTTACATCCATGCTTCCAACCTCTAAAGAT